AACAGAACTTTCAATGAAAATAAATCCTTGTACCACATGAAATGCAAAGAATATAAACAGCATAAAATGAGTGGAATACTAGAGAGTTACTACAGATTAAAAAAATATTCCAAAAATGCTTTGCTTATCAGAGCCATGCCTATGAATCAGTTAAGAGGCAATAGTTAATGAAATACATACAAAAGAGGACAAGCTTCATCAAATTTTAAAAAAATTTCTGGATCAGAGTTCTACAGCTTCCATTTGTGCATCTATACATTTCTTGGTCATTTTGACAAGAAAATTATAAATATGAGCTTAGGTGAGAAAATAATTAATGAATGACAGAAATTTTGGCTAAGCACAGTAGCACAATGAAAAACTGAAATGCATAAATTTTACGCACAAATGTGTAACAGTTGGCAGGCATTGTGATATGTTATATAATTAGCAACCGTAGCTCTCTTTCCAACTTTGCTTTCGAGTTTCAGACTAAAATGAACAATTTTATTAATATAATTCTAAAATAAAAAGGAGATAGAGTTAAGAGATTTAAAATCACTGGCTAAACAGATTTCATGAGTCAATTATTAATAACTTTGATTAAATGAAACTTAGTGTTTAGTAAATGAGACATAAATTGTGTACAAGAGTGATGTAAAATAATAATAAATATCAGCCCAAATATGATGGGAAATTGATTTCATGTAAAATGCTACAGTGAGAAAATACAAACAAAATTGTGTCATATGAATCAGATTACTATTTGACATATACATTTAGAATACTTAAAATGTAATTTGCTCATATTATTATTATTAATATTATTTACCTTAGGATTCATTTCATCTGCACTTAAAAATCAAATTGAAATTTGCATTTGATTTGAGTATCTACTTATCAGTTCTAATTTTACTTAAAACACTCTAAAAAATGTGATTATGTAATATTTACCTTGGCTTTCTAAAACTTCTTTTATCAGCCTTTGTCCTTGAGCGACAAACTGGAGGAGGTTGAAGTGTCAAAAAACTAAATGAACCTTTAAAATCATAACAAGGATTTGAAATATCATGCATAATATGAATAAAAATATAGTAATAAAATTTACATATTTTAATAAGTCTTAAAAATTTAAGCAGAAGAGTCTGAATAAAAACATTTGAAATAACAAAATTTACAAATAAAATTTATATTATTTATATTCACGTCATACATCATTTTATGATTTAAAAGTTACAAGGGTCAGAAATATTTTTAATAAAAAGCATAATAGTTGGCATTTATGCATTATGGAAAAAAAATAGTGTGCCAATCCAAGACTAATATACATTATCTAGTTTAACTTCAAGCTAAAAACATGATTAAAATATCTTAGTAAAATTACAAAATTTATTTTACCTTGATCTTCATTGCTCATCACTCGTTTTGGCTTTAGCTCTCTGTTAACAGCTGGGGGTATTTCATTTTTAATAGAAGAAATTAATGTAGGACTAGTTGGTACATTGGCATAGGCACCAATAGCAGAAGGGCTAGGAGGTGTAGCAGCGTCACTACTGCACTGAAGACTTCGACAACCATCTGCAGCAAAGTAGTCATCAGAAACTAAACTTGGGCGATATTCATAATTGAATATTAGATCTTTACTATTAAACAGTCCAGGAGGAGCATTAGTGTAGGCATGACGCCGACTTCGTTGTGAAGTGCCAGTATTCTGAGGGGCAGGAACAGCTGCATTGATGTTATCTTCACCACGAAATTTGGCCACATGTTGTGGTTGTGGAAAATCATACATGTCATCCATTGTTGTTTCTTTAACACTTGAATTTTCACTCAGAGTATTATCTTCACTTTCCTCACTTTTCAGAGCCTGCTGCTTAGTCAAAACTAGTCCTTTGGTTGGTGGAGGTATATCATAATTTGGATCTTCTTTCTGTTTTTGATGTGGAAGCTCGAAATTTTCATATCTATGCCTTTCCCTCATTTTAGAAGGCTTAGGAGGTCTAGGAGGAACTATGCTGGTTTGATTTATATACTCAGCAGTACTTTCTTGAAATCTGTTTTGTGTATCAGGAGATGTTTTCAAAGCCATATTTTCAAAGTGACTTGCTAAGCTTTGCACTTTCTTCTGCTGAGGTTTAATCTCTTTTATGGAACCATGAAATGATGGTACAACATCATATACATTTACTTCTGAAGAAGCACTAGATTTTCTTCTTGGCACAGTACTACTACTGGGAAGAAAAGCATCATCCGGATATGTTTTCCAATTAACTTTTGGAGGTAAGGTACTAAATACATCAAAGTTTGGGGAAACCTGACAATTTGATTTTATAGACATTGGAATTTTGTATGTTTCATCATTGTCCATCTCTTCTGGTGCATGATTTGAATCAACATTGTTGAGATTGATAGGTTTAGGATGGTCATAGAATTCATCAGATATAGGATTTGGTACAGGAGTCCAATCAGTTTTAGGTGGCGGTGGAGGAGGTTCCTTTGGTACATCAGCAAAATTGTCACCAGAAGAATTTGTCGACTGGCTAGTGTTCAATTGCACAAGGCCATCCAAAGATGAAAAGTTTCCATTTAAAACTGGCTTACCAGTATAACATTCACTAATAGGAATATATGGATTAGATGAGCTTCTCACAGCTGTCAAGTTAGAACTAGTAATGACACTGTTGGGATTATTAGAAGGGTCTTGAGGCATAAGGAAATCTGCAAAACAAAAATAGCTATCATTAATTAAATAATATTTCATAAATCAATTGAAGAAAGACAAATGAAAAGTAATTTATTTTAATTCAAAATAGACATGATACAATTACATCAAAAGTTTTTCAGTGCACTTATGAAAAATAAGTTGTTTATTAATACCATTTCAACTTTTTGGAAATAATATTATTGAATACTTGTTATATATAAAATGAAAAATTGCATTTTATAATAGAGCTGAATTAAAGTAATCATTCCATTAAGAATTCAAGATCAGAAGAATTGTGATTATAATCAGTGAACTCTATTGCTTTAACATCTCAAAAACAACACTCAGAAAGCATAAATGACATAAAACCTCTAATAATTATTAATTTTCTAGTTAATAGTTATTAATTCTTTAAAACACGCAAATAACATCTGAAAGATATATTTATTTTCACAATATTAGAATCTAAAAAACTCTACTTTTGCTATTTGCAACTTATAAGTTTCTAAAATACATCAAAACAAGGAGATAATAATCCAGTAAAGGATCAATCTGACAGTAGTAGTAGTATATTTGAATGAATAAAAATATTTATACATAATTTTTAATAAATTTGTTAAAATGATATGTAAAGTTAGAAATTACATAGTGTGTGTGCTTTAGTTTTAATTTAATTATAGTGTAACTGAATGAAAAGGAAAGAAAATATGACATTCATAACTGGTTTTAGAATATGCTAGCACTGACTTGCACAAACTATCGAGACAACTAGTTCAAAATTAAACTTTATTTGTTCCATTTTAAGACACATAATAAAAAAACAAAAACAAAAACAACAACAACAAAAAAAACGACTAAGCTAAAGCACCATTTACAATACTATGCCAATAAATAAAAAATAATACCTTCTTCTGTGTGAATTTTTAATCCACAAACTGAGCAAATGCACTCGACCCATTTATTCATATCTGCTTCTGTTTCTGCTATCAGGTAATAAGTTCTTTTAGGCGTCCTTATATCAAACATATATTGATAACCAGCAACTTTACTATCAACAGGTAAACCTGCATCAATCTAAATGAATAGTAATAAAAAAATTAAGGTAAACAACAAAAACAGATTCCATGAGATAATAAGTATAGGTTTAACAGAAAAAAAGTTACTTTTCTTTGAAAAAAATAAATTGAATAAGTTTTATATAATGTGTATAGTATTATTTTGATAAGAAGAATATCATGAAAAAGTATAAATCTATAACATGATATAAACATATATATTTGCATTTATTACAGACTAAATTAAACAAAACTATTAGTTAGCACACATTCTTTTTTTTCAAAGTAATTCAATAGTGAGCATGATTACCATTTATTTTTTTCAGATAAAACCTAAACAAAATAAAATATTACAAATACTTAACAATGGTTATCAAAAACAGTTTTTATAAAGAGAGATGATCAATACATGTTTATGAAATATACTCTGTATTTCCCTGAAGAAATAACATCAAGCAGAAAACTAAGCGGTAGTGTGACTTTTCTGGTTGCTTGCAATATAAGCCTTACTTAAAACTGTCAGCCAGATCTTATCAAATGACCAAGTGATGTTCAAATGCAACAAGTGGGCACATTCAATAAATAATAGATATGGCTGCAGTTGATTAGAATCTTCAGAATTCCTAATGTCATGAGTTACAATGGACACTTAGTACTTGATGAAATAATAAGTTTAAAGTATTTATATGTACATACATACAAAATATAAAATAGCCTATTCCAGTGAGTACCAGAAAATAAGTGAGGAAGGTCCTGGGGTAAGAATCTGAAAATTTTTTGCAAAGAGCATTAGTTCTTGGAATGATTCAAAAAGTGGTGATCAGAGTATGATAAAACCTCAAGCATTAAATGGACAATGGAAATGTTAAGTAAATGCATGGATCAGGCCAGTCACTATTATTTCCTGAGCTGGAAGACATCCTGTGTAAACGGACTTTTGATGGAAGAGCAAAGTGTTTGGTTTTTCAAGGGGCTGATATTTGAGCATTCATTCTTAAAACAGTACTACACTTAGACTGTTACACATAGCACAGACATAGCACAAAAAGAATTTAAAGGCTTACAGTTCCGAATGAATGGTTTCCTTCAGCACACATGAACTGTGATAAATTTTAAGACAATTTTTTAGAGTGTGTGAATATTAACATTGCATTATTCAGCTACTCAAGGATTTTTGGTGACGGACCTTGTAACTTTGAACCATGGTCAAGTGATGAGGATGACTCCTGGGCTGGCACCCCCCTCTCCTATCTCCCACAAAATACCAATGGGAGGTCATTTGAGCCTCGGCAGATTTAACGTGCATTGCCCCCTTACCCAGTGGGTCTTCAGTGGTACAAAGATAGAACTCATGACAAGCTGGCCACGAGTCTGTTACCCTGACCATTAGGCTACCATGGTTCCACGATTTTCTAGATGACAACAACATGGCTGTATTTAAACAAATGTAAATTATTGAGCATGAAAAATAAGATGTACTCTGATAACGTGTTTTTGGCAACCAAAAATACATAATTGGGTCTTAATTTGGAGAAACACAGTAACATTAAAATATAAAAAGAGAGAGAATCATACCCTTCAAGATAAATAATTAATGTAATTCAATAAATGCATGTTAATTAAAAATGAAGTACCATTTAAAGACAACAACAAAGAAAGCTACCTGTTCACATTGATCTAAGTCAATTTTGCCTTTCAACTTTTTACATGAACTGTCAGTAAAATATTCCAAAATGAACTGCCCAGGAAGCAGTCCAGAATGCCTCAAAACAAACCATCTCTGTCGCCATTTCTAAAAACAGGAAAATAATGAGTTATTTATATTCTAGAAAAAATTAAATAATTTGTAATTGCATAAAATAATAGTCATAAAACTAATTTATATATTACTGAGATAAAATAATCATATTTAAACACTTAAAAGCAAAAGGACAAAATTAACTTTTTCATACATTGTCTACACGTTAACAATTTAGAAATTTTCAAAAAAACATTTTTTAAAGCTAAAAAAATATTTATATTATATATATATATATATATAGGAACAATTTTGAAAAGAATATGTGATTTAATTTATATACATAAGCTTTAATTATAAGATTTTTTTTTAATTTCTAAAAAGAAAAAAATAAGATGGACAACATTACACAACATACATGCTCATTTCATTCAAGAGTAAATATTTATGAAATAAATAAATAAAATTTTCTGGTGAAAATAAAGGCTATACTTCTTTGACCACACTTTCTCTTAATTGATTGACACAGCACGACCTATCACGGGAGATGTTAAATCTTTTGGAGAAAAACAAAGAGGATATTTTTGATCACCGGGTAATTATAAAGGAATCGTGGATCAATCAATATGATCTAGTCCCTAAAGAGATGAGCAAGTAAGGAGAGAGAGAAAAGTACATTGACACCTCTTCTCTCTTTAACCCAGAAGACTAAGTTGCAGAAGTCTGCAGAAAACGTCATGCTGCCACTTTTTGAGATTGTCCGGACCAAATCATCACTAGTGCCTATTATTGTTCACTAATAAATAAATTGAAAGATACTCTGATCAAGAAACCGCCTGGTATGATCACTAAAGGTGTCCGTCTTCTTGCAGAAGATGTGCAGGCTTATTCATCTCGATGCAGTGCTGGTTTATCCAATGGGCACTTGGGGCGGGCGCCCGGATAAGCTGGACTTAACCAGATGTTTTTGGTTATAAATTTCGATCCTGCAGTGCCAAAGGGGCCTGTAGATCAGGGGTATCAAACTCGCGGCCCGCAACGAATATTTTTGCAGCCCGGCCAGTATACTGGCACACACAATAACATATAAGAAAACATCAAAATTTTTCCTAAAATAAGAAAGATTGTAGCAGAAATGCCAAGTGACAGGACGTAAACATTTAATTTTTCTTGTTCCTTTGTAGATGTTTATTATAATGTATTATTCAAAATAAAACTACGTTTCTACGAATATTGATTTCTTCTACAGCCCATTTAAAGTTAAACCTTGCTTGTTTGGCAAAAGTTAGCCTTTGAATTTAACATCCTTGCTGTAGATATTCTGCGCCCAAGTCCTGAAAAGAGCTGAAATCGGAACTGTCTCGATGAATGGTTGAGAAATCAAGGCGATGTGGTTTTGAAACATTCGCCCTATTTTCCCGATCTCATTCCAAGCGACGTTTTCTTATTACCAGAATTCGATAAATCGGAAATTTTGGAGGAATCGGAGATTTGGCAACATTAAGGACATTATTCAAAAAGTGGAACAACGGTGTTTGAAAAAAATAATCTGTTGAGATTTACAATGACGCCCTTCGAAAGCTTAAGAAATGTAAGAAAAAATATCTCTGAATAGTGACTATGTATACGTCTTAAAAATAATAAATAAAAATTAAGTTTTTATTTTGATTATTTTTAGTAAAACTTAAAACTTTCAGATACCCTCTCGCACAATGCATTTCTTAATAAAAAAATTAAGATTAGTATTTTAACTTTATGAAAATTATCAGTTTCCTGCATTATATTTCAATAAAACGAAAATCGGTAGAAGCATTCTTATTTCTCGGTACTTCTTTCTGCACTTGATTGATATTCATGTTGATTCACCTGTATGAACTAGTTTTTAGAAAGTTAATGATGAGTTGACTCTTTATTTTATCGAACATCCTTTTCAACTTAAAAAAAAAAAATGTCACCATTTTTAATTGAATTGGAATTGTTAGTTATTCAAATAAAATAATTTTTTTACATACTATGACACTTCACAATTCCTCACAGTCAACTTTCTCTTAAGAATAGATCATTTAGTACAGGAAAACGCTCACTTACAACATAATGTAATGTAAAATTGGGGAAAATGCACAGGTCGGTTGACGGCGAACGCGCGATATCTAAGGGTGTGGGGAGGAATGAAAGCAGAACCAGAGAATTCCATATAATCACAATTATTTATTTAGTCAAACAAACTAACCAACAACAATCTTTTCACAAAGTGAATGTCAAATGAGTAGCACGGAGAAAGCAATGATTATTAAGCAAATATGTGGAATCAACTCATTTAACTCAACGTAATCTATCGTTGATTCCTAACCTCAAATCTAATAATTCAACTCAGTGGCAAAACATCACTCTTAATCTTTACATGCGAAAGTAAACCTTATTCAATCTTACCTGCGTAGCGAATATATCTGCTTCCTACCTCCTTTATAATTACGAAACTCTGATTTTATATAGTCGAACTAATCTGAATATTACGGTTTCTTCTTGAGAGGGATGGCTGTGAATTAAACGCGAATGCTAGCCCAAAGATTCCCCAAGAGGATTAGTGTGAGGACGCGTATAGATTCGTAACAATCTTTATAGAGAATATATGAAACAGTAAAAACCATTTAGGATGTAATAAACCGATCTTTTTTGAATAAAATAAAACCTACTGATAAAACCACGTAGCCGAAATGGTGTTAAGAGAAAAAAAAACTCAAACAGTAATTTAATGAATTAATTTACATTAGATTACACACACACATATAGAATTTTTTTAAATTCAACAGTTACAACGAAATTTTATGAAGATTTTACTTTTAATTTCTTTTTGAATCCTTCCAAGGTATGCTTTCCTGAAACCACCACTGATTGTACTTCTTAAATTTTCTAAAAGTTACAGAAATTTCTAATGATTATAATTCGGGGTTTTTTTTGGAAGAGGGTGATTAAATAAACAATTTATATAAGTTTTTTTTTTTGAAAAAAAATCTGAAATGAAAATACCAATTTTTTAATCTAATGACACATATTTTTACGCAACTCGATAAAACACATATTACAGGATCTAACAAAAATTTCAAAACAGCTTAATCTTTTTAAAATTTTACAAATAAGTTAATGGGATTAAAGTACAGTGAGAATGAAATACTAGGAATTTATCAATGCATGAGGCATATGTTAACAAACATTTCAAACAAAGTTTTTGGAAAGGTTTGAACGTAATTTTACAGTACACCAAATAACAGTAAAAAAAAAAACTTGAAAATTTTTCAGAATGCATTAAATTACATCTGAAAAGCACAGGGAAATACATAAATCACAATAAAGAATTTGTAAAGAAAGGCAATCAATTCATGCAATTTTTTCCCCTAAGAATTAATATTCCACCCTAGAATTTTACTGTATATATACAACATGAGAGAGACATCAAATGGCGAAGTGTTCGTTTTTGATCACAACAGAGGGAAGGGGGATGCAATTAATTCGACGTAGTTCTCACACTCACAAGGAAAAAAAACTACAAATTATTCCAATCAACAGGATATTAAAAAATGCCTTTAGTTGCAGAAGCAAATAATTTCTTCTAGGGGGCCGTGATTATTTTTGAATTGGATATTTCTCATTTCTTTCAATATAATTAGTTGCCGTATTATTTTCCTTTCTACAAAGACATTGTGGGAGTCTCATTTTGATGTTCGCATGCAGCGATTTTATTCGATTAATGGACAAGACAAGAACCGCTGGATTTCACTTCTGGATACTGATGGGTTTCTTTTCTGAACTGTGCTCTGTGTGATACACTTCACAACTTAAGAACCAACATTTAAGATAAGTAATAAATGGGTATTTTTTTTAATAATGCATATTCACCACATATTACATTTAAATAATATTTCAACACCAAATTATAAATAGTTTTCTAAAGTATATGATATTCTCAAAAAGTAAAATCCATCATAACAGCTTACGGCAGGGGTGTCAAGTGAAGTGTTTGGTGTTTTATGGCGCAAGAGCCAGTTTTGGCTATATTGCGCCAAACATTCATAGGTCTGTGGTCTGGACGGGAAAAGAAAAGGAGAAATTGGATGACAAGATGGAGGGTCGAAAATAGAGAAGTATCACTGGGGTACCCCGGCGTCGTGACACCCGTGTTTACCAAATACAGTAAGCCCCCTGGGAAAAGGAAAAGATCACTAGGGTACCTCGGGATTGTGACACCCGTACCCACCTAAAGAAGGTGAGCCCCCTGAGGGGGCAGGGGTGTCAAACTCGCGGCCCAGCCAGTATATTGGCACACAATAATATATAATAAAATATTAAAATTTCTGCCGAAGTAGGAAAGATAGTAGCAGAGACGAGATGTCAAGTGTCAGGATGTAAATATTACATTTACCTTTATATTTTATATATATTTATTAAAAAGGATTATATATATTCGAAATAAATCTACGTTTCTATGAATATTGATTTTCTTTGCGGCTCACTTTAAGCTAAACCTTGTTTATTTGGCCCTAGTCTGCCTCTGAGTTTGACACCCTTGGCTTACGGTATGCGAATTTAGATGAAAATAATTATGACAAGGAAGCTCGAACTTAAAATTAATGAACTGATAAAAGCGAATTGCACAGTAACAACTAAT